TCCACCGTCATCACCAGGCTCCGCTCCCGCTGGGCCCCGATAATGGCGTGGCACACCAGCTTCTCCTTGACCATCTGCAGGTGAGAAAGGCCGGCACTGTGAGAACACCCACAGCTCAGAAAACTCAGTTCCACACAATCAGAAAACGGACGCTCAACCACCTGCTGCGGACACCAGGGAAGAACACGTGTCTCTGAACCGTGCATTTCAGGTGTTGCTCTCTGTCTCACACTTAAATGTCTGATGGGTTAAATATGTCCTGGACGGATCCTGCGCCCATTTCTGACTGCTCTCGAGGACACAAATCAATTTACATTCAGTTCAATGAATACCTGTATGGAAGGTGTATTATGCATGGACTGTCAGGGATTGGACATACCAACCAGTATGGGCAGGGCAGATAAAATCCTATGGGCTTCACCCTAACTGGTTTGGCTCAGTGGATAGAGTGTCGGCCTATGGACTGAAAGGTCCCAGGTTCGATTCTGGTCAAGGGCATGTACCTTGTTTGCGGGCACATCCCCAGTAGGAGGTCTGCAGGAGGCAGCTGATCGATGTTTCTCTCTCATCGATGTTTCTAACTTTCTATCCTCTCCCTTCCTCTCTGTAAAAAATCAATAAAATATATTTTTAAAAGATCCTATAGGCTTAGAGTTCAATGGTAGTTCTATTTCTTATCAAGCTAGTCAGAAACTGTGGCTGGAACGTTTTGCATTTCCTACTTGGATATTTAAAAAATTGTGCTATAGAAACTAGTATTTCTTTCCTCCCCTACCCCCCCGAGGTCCAGATTTGTATGAAGTAGAAAGAACCCAAAGTGAATTTATATCATGAACAGCTTGCATTGAAGCGTGCTCAGGTTTCAGATGTGAATGGATTTAGAAGCCTCGAAGCTCAGGCTGAAGGCCTTTGAAACTATGGTCAGCTCCCAGTCGTGACATTGTGAACGTGCTCCTGTCGGGGTCTTGAAAGGAGGGCTGCGTTCTATCACCTTTGCGTCCTTGGTGCCTAGTGCAGGTTGCCACACGGTGCACACTCAGTAGAAGTTGGCTGAACCCCTGAAGAGCAGAGACAAAGACCACCTTATACACTCACTCCACCGGGAAGCAATGGACAAGCTTTGCTATCCTGTCTGCTGGAAGGCGAATTTCTTAATTGTTTCCCATTTCCTGAGGAGAACGCTCAGCATCACTCCTAATTTGGTGGCACCAGGCGGAGCTCAAGCAACCATCAGTCCTCATTCACAACGTCTGCGCTTGTGAGGGAGGGGAGGCTCATGAGCAATTACAAGGGGTTTTTGGTTTTTTTTAGGTTTCTGGTGGTTTCCAGTCTCTGTGAGGGAGTAGGAACAGAGACGTGGTTTGGATCTGCATCAATGTTTAAGCAGAGTGCGGTGATGTAAATAAGAACATCAGAGCTGCCAAAGATACATGCAGCTCTTTCGTTGACCCATAAAAAGATGATGATTATAAATGTGATGCTGTTATGTCAGACTGAGAGGAGAGAAGCCTGGGCTGTCCCAATACCTGGAGAGGAACGGCAGCCCAGAGTGTTTACAGACACACCCTTTGGGATACCTATGAACACGGCTAAGTGTTCCCGGGAGGCGTGGCTTGGGCTGAATGCTGGCTCTCCCTCTCCCAGAGACTTGCTGGCTGGTCACTGCTGACCCTGGGGATGAGAAGCTGCTTTAATTAGTGTTTTAAGGATGGGTTCATGGCAGCTGCAGAAGCAAACATAAAACTGAGCAGAGCTGAACCGTCACTGCGACGGGTGCTGCCATGGTAACTTGGGGCCGTGTGCAATCCTTAAGAAACCACATCCTTTCTTCAGATAAATGTCAAGGAACTCGCCTAAGAAATGGAGCAAAGATTTATTTAGGAGAAAAAGGCAGGTTCTAAACATGCTGTCCCCGTACCCTGGGAGTAGCAGAATAGCCATCAAGTGTCACATCGATCGTCTGGTCTGGATACAACTCCATCCTGAAGGGTTGAAGCTGAAACACGGGGCTCTGAGGACGCCGGGCTGCCTGGGCGCAGGGGCGCTTAGCGAGTCTCCTCTTGGGCACAACTTTCTTGTTCTTGGGTTGGAACTCTTCATTCATCCAGAACAACTGGTGGACCCGACGTCCCTTGTTGGTCAACTTGAAGTGGTAGTAACAGGTGTCCAGGCTGGAAAAGAGGAGGCGGGTATGGAGAGGACTCAACTTTGGGATGGATGTTCAGCTCTACACCTTTGGGATTGACCCCTCTGGAAGTATTTTTTTAAATTATTTGATATTTTTAAATATTGTGAAATAATCACCACAAGTCTAGTTAATATCCATTAACATACATAGTTACAGATTCTTTTTCTTGTGATGAGAACTTTTACGATTTACTCTTTTTTTTAAAGTGAGTAATAAATAGACAATTTTTTAAATATAGGAAGGCTGCATCATGGTAGTACTAGGTCACAGTGATGGCGAAACTATGACATGCAAACTCATTTTTTTGATTGATTTTTCTTGGCTAAATGGCATTTAAACATATAAAATAAACATCAAAAATATAAGTCTTTGTTTTACTATGGTTGCAAATGTCAAAAAATTTCTATATGTGACACGGCACCAGAGTTATGTTAGGGTTTTTCAAAATGCTGACACGCCGAGCTCAAAAGGTTCGCCATCACTGTACTAGGAGCTACCACGGTAATGGGACAAAGTAGCAGCTACTCATGGCCTCCATAAACTCAAGTCAAGGGCCTGGGTGTGGCCCTTGAGTTGTCATCACCAGGGAAGGGGCCGTGGAAAAGTGGGCCCACCCATCCTCTGTCTTTCCCAGCAGGTCAAGCGTGCCGCAGAATACACGGACGCAGTTCACATGAAAACTGCTCTAATTTATGCCAAATGGCTCTGAGGAGTATTTTAGGAAAGGAAAAGCAAAATGCCTATTGGGGGAGAAGTGTATTTCAAATTGTGTGGAGCAAATTCCTATGGACTGAGGGAAATGTCTTGTGATGGGCTCAGTTTGAAGGGTACTTCAAGAGAAAGGACCAACTTATTCACAGTACATCTTTCAATCATCACAGCAACCCAGGAATACCAAGTATATTTGCTCATTTTCTAAATGAAGAAACAGAAGCTCTGAAAATGTCAGGAAGTTGCCCCAAAACATGCAATTAAAAGAGATGGCATATGGGGTTTTCTTAGACCTATATGTTCCCAAATTGGCAAACTTTTCTGTTAAGGGCTGAATAATAAATATTTTGGATTTTGGGGGCCACATGGTCACTGTTACAGCTACTCAATTGTCCACTGTAGTGTAAAAGCAGACATAGAAACTATGTGTACACAAATAGGCATGGCTGTATTCCAATAAAACTTTATTTACAGCCTGGCCGGTGTGGCTAAGTAGTTGAGTGTCAACCTAAGAACCAGGAGGTCACGGTTTGATTCCCGGTCAGGGCATATGCCTGAGTTGTGGGCTTGATCCCCAGTGTGGGGCATGCAGAAGGCAGCCAATCAATGATTTTCTCTCATCATTGATGTTTCTATCTCTCTCTCTCCCTCTTCCTTCCTCTCTGAAATCAGTAAAAATAAATTTGAAAAAACCTTTATTTACAGAAACAGCCCACCTCTTCTTTTTTCCCCCTTTTTAAAAAATGTAATTTAACTTTTCCATCACCATTTATCCTCTCTTTGCCATCTACCACCCTCTGTGTCCTCTGCTTTTGACAATTCTTTTGGAGATTACTGGCATCATGATTTCATGTCAAAAAGAATGGTAGGGTTTAGGCAGAGGGGAAATTGACAGCTAAAAAGCCACAATTTGCTTCTGTATTCATAGAGAACTATAGGCTAAACCTCCCAATTCCAGGCAAGTGACAGAATATCCTTTGGGGTTATTTGACCCTGTTTGCAGATTACAGAGAACATCATGTAATCAAGTTTGGTTCGCAGCATACTGCTTCTATAATTATGTTTGCGTATACTGAGAGAAACTTGGAAATAGAAGCATGCTCTAGCTCATGGTCAACAGACAGGCAGAGAGGAGCATTTCTCTATCAAGTTAACACAAAACTAATGGGTGCTTCTCGGAAGGCATCATTCCTAGTGGCTCATGCTATTTTCAATCAGGTCATGGTTTGTAGATAGAACAGAGGAAAAGGGGGTGTGAATGGGTTTGTGGGGAGGGCTCCTGATTTTTTTTTTCAGGCTCATCTTCTCTAGGCACATGTGTTCATCTTGATTGCGGGGCCTGTTAGACCAGAGGTCTGTTCACAATATCATGATGGACAGGTACACATTCCTCTGGCCCCCGCAGCTGGGGAGCCATGAATGAATCCCCGCACATATCCTCCCGTCGGCATTCAGACTTCATACATTTTTAGAGCCACATGTAGATCATTCTGCTCAGAGGGGTCTATAGTCTACCACCTTTTATTTAAATATTTAGATGTTCTAGTTTTTCTGTTCTGTTTTTTCCCCAAAATGATCAGGTAGAGCCAATTGCGGCCCTCTTGATTGTTGGTGCTATAGTGGGGAGGCAAGCAGGAGACAAAATACCAAAAAAGTTACTGCTTTGCAATTCCTGATAAGAAACATTTACAGTACATTTTTACCTTCCTAGTTATACTCTACTTAGGTTACCACTAAGCTGCGACGGTATTTTGGACCTACACGGAGAGGGATTAAGAGCGTATTGGAATAAAAGAGGGGAAATCATGGTGGAGATTCTAAACTAGTCACCGAGAAGGCACTGTAAGTGTGAGAGAATGATGCACTTCCTATGAGCCATCTCTTCGCTAGCGTGGACGGACTCGGCTTGAGAATGCAACCAAGCTGTGACTAGGGGGGTGTCTTCTGATGGCTGACGCACCCATCTGGAGGGGGACAGTGAAGATAGGAAAGTGGAAGGACTGAGGTGAGTGCAATTTACTGAAAAGCCATTTTCTAAAATAGAGGTGATGCTCAGCTTATACAACAGGGGCGATACCTATGAAAATTCACCCAGATTTCCCTACCTAAAATGTGCTCCCAAGTTGAGTTCTGGAGCAAAGGGCTTATCCGAAACAATGGTGGAACCAATTCCTTCGGCCTGGACAGAAATCCGGTAGGTGTTGCTGTTTATAATATCCAAAATGACCGTGTCTTTGAACATCAGTATGTCATTCAGGTTGGCGGTCAGCGTCAGTTGAATGTCATCTTCGGGGGGAACGGTGCCTTCACTGGGTTCCACTGTCCAAAGGGACTTTTTGTGAGCCTGCAACACAAGACACACAGTAACCGTGAGGCTATTCCTGGCTTTCCCTCCCGCAGGCGTCAGAGCCGTCTGCACCTCAAGCAGCCGGCACTGTGGAACTCAACATCAGAGACAAACATTATTTTTTTTTTCCAAATCACAGCAGCTGGATGTTTGTTGGCTTCTCTTTCTGCAAAAAGCAATCTGATTCTGAAGAGCAAACCTACAATTCCGCCTCTGAGCGCTCGGCGAGGATCCCTTACATCTCTTTCGCTAGATGACAGCCCAGCTCTCTAACAAGCGGGTGCTAATTACCTGTTTTAATCACCAAATTCTGAGATACCCGCGGAAGGTACAACATCCTTTCTGGAATATGGAATTTTCCAGAGACATGGTTTTCAAATGCAAGGGTGTTGAGGATGTTATTAGTGAGCAGGAACCCCGCTTTCGTTAATAAACACAGTATAGGAAGTCGTCTCGATTTCTATTATTCTATAATAATAAATAGAAGTTCATGTGCTAACATTCCAAACTTATTCAGAAATATATAATAGGAGGTGAAAATTATAGAGGGGAAGCTGACTCTCACTGATCTGTTCCCTTTAATTGATTAGATCCTCAGAGCCCACTCCCTTTCCTCCTGAGGAGTTTTGGCCAAACACTGCCTCTCAATGAAGCCTGCTCTGACCATCACCTTTTAAGTGGAAAACCTTCCCTCTGCACTCCTGATCCCCTTTACCCAGTTCTATTCCCCCCCCTTAGTACTTACCATCTTCTAACATGTGCAGATCTGACTTATCTATCATGCTTGTCTGGTTTGAAAGTCTATATGGACACTACTAAATAGATTGTATTTAAAAATGTAAATAAGTTCAATGAAACAAAGGAGAACAGTTCTCAAGATGATACATTGTTTATAATGAGGATGTAGATGAAATTTTACTTTAATTTTGGTATGAATGGAAATGATAGATTTAATTCTCTGTCAAGAGTCCTATCATTACTCCTGATCTTTTAATATGGGACATCTCTGGAAACATAGATATAAGAGAAAACAGCATTAAATACTACACTAGATAGACTAGGGCTGAGATGGGATATTTGTATGATAATTAGATCTATTCCAAAAATATTTGTGGGAAAAAAATGTTGATTTTTGTACCACTCAATGTTTTTCTAAAATTTTTTAACTTTCTACTCATAGTAAATTAGCCCTGATGAAGTACTAAAATAAGAAAACAGAAAGCAAAGTCTGTCTTTCCAGAACATTATGCTGCGTTTGTTTAGATTTTATCTTAAAATATTAGTAACAAGCCCTGGCCAGTGTGTCTCAGTGGTTAGAATGTCAGCCTATGTACTGAAGGGTCATGGGTTCGATTCCTTGTCAAGGTCACGTATTTGGGTTCCAGCCCCAGCCCTGGTTGGACGAGTGTGGTAGGCAACCAATTGATGTGCCTCTCTCATATCAATGTTTTTATCTCTCTCTCCTCTCCTCCCTTCTACTCTCTCTAAAAAAAAAAAAAAAAAAAAAAAAAATCAATGGAAAAAATATCCTCGGGTGAGGATTAATAACAAAACATTAGTCACAAAAAGATAATAATCCTCATCAGTTTAATTTTCAGGATTATAAATTGATTATTATTGGCAAGAGAAACTACAAGGATTGGATGTCACTATATTCTGCTTATATTTAGGTTCAAAGAAATAATTTCTAATGCATATTCTTAATTTACCCCCCCTCCCCAATTTTTTTAGCAGTCTATCTTAGTCCATTCACAGCAATGTGAGCTTTTTCTTTTTTTTTTTTTAATATATTTTATTGATTTTTTACAGAGAGGAAGGGAGAGAGATAGAGAGTTAGAAACATCGATGAGAGAGAAACATCGACCAGCTGCCTCCTGCACATCTCCTACTGGGGATGTGCCTGCAACCCAGGTACATGCCCTTGACCGGAATCGAACCTGGGACCCTTCAGTCCGCAGGCCGACGCTCTATCTACTGAGCCAAACCGGTTTCGGCCAATGTGAGCTTTTTCTAACACGCACTTAAAAACTCTTACAGCTGCCCTGGACAGTGGCTCAGTTGGTTGGAGCATTATTCCATACACCAAAAAGGTTGTGGCTTCAATTCCTGGTCAGGGCACATGCCTAGGTTGTGGGTGTGTATGGGAGGCAACCGATCAATGTTTCTCTCTCTCTCTCTCTCTCTCTCTCTCTCTCAACATATCCTCGGTTTTGGATAAAAACAAAACAAAAACTCTTACAGCTTCTACCCATTACCTAGTCCAAAGCCACCTCACATTTGTAGGCATCTGTTACACCAGCACCCACTCTCAGTACCAATTTCTCTATGAGTCTGGGCTGCTATAACGAAGTGCCATGGACTGGGCGGCTTAGAAACGTAGAAATTCATTTCCTGTTCCCGAGGTCGGCAGTGTGCAACCAGGGAGCCGGCACCGTGGAGTTCCGGTGAAAGCCCCCTCCTGGGTGAGGACTGCCGACTCCTCATTGTACCCCTGCACGGAGAAGAGCCGAGCAGAGGAAGCCAGCTCCCTTATAAAGACTCTTAGAACCCCCTCTCCAATCCTAATTTCCTCCGAAAGGCCTCGACTCCTAATACCACTGAGGGGTTTGGGTTCAACATATGAATTTTGGGGGAACATAACCATTCTATACATAACATTCACCTTCAGTCCCTCCAAATTCATGTTTTTCTCATATGGAAAATAAGATCTTCAATCGGGAAGAGGAATCTAACCAGAATTCAACTATGCTGAGACCCTGATCTCAAACTTCCAGCCTCAGAAACTGTGAAAAAGAAATGTCTCTCGTTTGTAAGCCACCCAGTCTATGGTACTTTGTTACAGCAGCCTGAACTAAGACACAATCCCAGAGTGAAAACCTTAAAAACCTCTAACATATTAATCATAGAAAATGACACAAAATGAGTTCTAAAACAGCCATAAATGCAAAATAATTTTTCTGCCAATATTTTTTAAAATATTAAAAAAATTTTCCATCAACATTTATCCTCTCTATACCCTCCTCTGCCTCCACCCACACTGTCCTCCCCTCCCACCCCCGGCAATCACCACCCATTTGTCCCTGTCCATGAGTTCTTTCTCTTTCTTTTTCTCAATCCTCCATCCCAGCCCCTCGCCCTCCCCCCACCCCAACCCCAGAGCTGTCAGCCTGCTCTCTATCTATGAGTCTGTCTCTATTTTCTGCAGATATTTTTTAATGGATCAATGTAGCTTCATTTCATCAGCATGTTTATCAGAGTAGATAGGGAGTTTTTGACTTACACCATTTACATGACTTAAAGCAATACATGGAAACAGCTTTCTCATGCTTGAGGAACCAGCCTTTCTCCCTGCTTAGAACTATTTGCCTTTCTTACTTTCAGCTTCTAGATTCTAGGCTACCATTTTAGATAAAGTTATCCTAGCTGCTGTAACAACAACAAAAAACCTGATGCTCAATGGCTTAATACAGTGATGGCGAACCTATGACACGCGTGTCAGAGGTGACACGCAAACTCATTTTTTGGGTTGATTTTTCTTTGTTAAATGGGATTTAAATATATAAAATAAATATCAAAAATATAAGTCTTTGTTTTACTATGGTTGCAAATATCAAAAAATTTCTATATGTGACACGGCACCAGAGTTAAGTTAGGGTTTTTCAAAATGCTGACACGCCGAGCTCAAAAGGGTCGCCATCACTGGCTAAATACAACAAAAACTCACTTCCGGTTCACATGAATTCCAAGTGGTTACAGGCATGAGAATGGGCTCTGGTTCCATTCAGTCATTCAAGGACCCCAGCTAAACAGATTCTGGCATGTTTAATGTGTGGCTTCTAAGCCACTCTGGACATTGACATTCAGTCGGCCAACAAGAGAAGGAAGAGAATGGGGGGGTCACATGCTAAGATTTTATGCACTAAGCCTGGAAATGGTACACAACACTTCTTCCCACTTCCACTGTCCAGAGCTCAGTCATGCAGACATACCTAACTGCAAAGTAATCTGGGAAATGTCTTGCTCTGGGTCCAAGAGTGAAGGGAGGTGGGCATAGGGAACTGCTAACTTCTCTCTGCCAAAGCTACCTTGTTGGTTCCGTATATTGCCATATCCTTAGGTCTTCCCCTAATTCAGTGACGGCGACCCTTTTGAACTTAGTGTGTCAGCATTTTGAAAAACCCTAACTTAACTCTGGTGCCGTGTCACATATAGAAATTTTTTGATATTTGTAACCATAGTAAAACAAAGACTTATATTTTTGATATTTATTTTATATATTTAAATGCCATTTAACAAAGAAAAATCAACCAAAAAAAAATGATTTCGCGTGTCACCTCTGACACGCGTGTCATAGGTTCGCCATCATTGCCCTAACGCCTCTGGACCTCAGATTTTGAAAGGTGAAGAGTTCACTCCAATCAGGAAACTGAAGTGGGGGCGTAACTTGGTATTTGCACTCCTATGGGAACTCTAGGGCTGGAGCCCAGATCCATCTGCTGTTGGGACAACCAGAGGGGCAGCTGGGGGAGAAAATAAGAATGTTCTAGGCAAGACAGTCTCACACTGTTGGCCTTTCTTTCCAAACCTGTGGCCTTAGAGCACTCTATGTAGTTTTGCTCACTTATGAGACTCAGCTTACAGTTAAAACATAAATCAATGCCATGTTTGTCCTCCTATCGAAAAGCAAATGCCTTTCAGGAGAGAGCGCTGTCAATGTCACCTTTCCCATTCCACCTATTTATTTTCTTCCTCGAGACAGTGGCACAGGCCAGTCCTTGGTTACAATGAGGAGAGGGTGTCACCTGCATAAGTGCTATTTCCAGCCAGGGGACATTCGTTTTCGGTAGATGCATAGCATTTCTATTCTGACTCCTGCAGACGCAGACTGGCTGCTCTGGGAAGAAGACCTGAAGTTGCTCTCCAGGGCCGAATTGGTGAGTCTTCTTTTTGAGGAAGTGTATTAATCAGTGTCTGGCATAAAACAGGGCAGCAAAGTA